TCCTCTGAGCCACTAATCACTACTCAGACTGTTCATAGAGAAACTTTCTTGCATGTTGAGAGGCTACTGAACTGTGAAATGCAACATTTGTACACACATCCACTATGCATTCACTGGGATTTACAGTGTTGTGTTATCTATGGGCTAGCTTATTAGACCAGAATGGTCCCTGGATGATGCCTGAACAAAGATGGCTCCATCTTTCTGAAGTGAAAAGCAGAAGAAGTCATCATCATGGGAAGTACTGTGATCTCCGTGAGAGGTAATACATACCTGAAGCAATAAATGGGGAAAACACTGTTCCCCCAACCAGCCACCATAACATGTGAGTCAGGACTGGCCTCAGCCTAAATGTCTCCACCAAGGAAGGACGCTCCCTGATGTGTTTTGTCTCACCCATTGGGGTTAGTTATAGTCCTATGACTAATCCCTAGTGAGTGGGGTGAAATGTGTCAGGGGGCAAGGTTTGTTGGTGGAGACATGTAGGCTGAAGGTGATCTTCACTCACATATTACGGTGGTTGGTCGGGTTGGTTTCTTCCATTTATTGCACACATCACCTTAGAAGGGCATAATGACAACCTGTACCCCTTCACCTGTGGATCAAGGGAATAGAATCCCTGGCTTTGTACGGCCTTACAAACTTAGTCTAAGGTCGCAGTGACTACATTGGAAGCAGATATAAAGATAACACCTCCTGCGCTCTAGGACTCAAACCAGAGGTGGAGGAATCGAGGAACCTCAAAACAATTTTGCCAGTGCATGGAAGGATGTGCAGCTCTACAAGGCTGGGGAAGCCCGACTGATACTGTGAAGTGAAGCAAAAAGAAAGAGTGCACCAACCTTGCGCTTTAGCTCAGTAATTTAGTGATTTTATTTAATAAAATATATATACTCACAAACAAGGATGTAAAGCAAGCATTACAGATCCTCAAAGGGACAGGGTAGTGTAGAGCCAAGGTAAGTCATGTCGCGAGAGTAGACTTTCAAAGTGAGGCTGATGCGTTTCGAAGGGAGACCCAGTGACTACATATCTGGAAGTGGTACGTCTAAACACTATTTAGTATGGATCCACATCCACACTGAGTACAGATTTGGCAGATCCAGCTCATAAGCTTTGTTTTTGATTGCATTCATTAAATCCCAGATCCAGTCAATATTTTGGATTTAAAAAGAGCTAGAGCTTATTGGGGAGATTTCCCCTTATTTACCTTCCAGAACAGGAAGTGACAACCTCCTCCCCCCCCCCCCAACTTCTTGTATAGGCACTGCAGCAACAGGAGGTGAGGGTAAATGTCCACAATGAGTCCACCTACAAAAATGGAAAAAATTATATCCCCCCAAAAAATTAGCTGGAGTCACTGGTAAATAAAGATATTAATAAAGAACCATTGTAGCTTATAGTGTTATTAAACCTACAACAGTAAATCAGGCTGTATATGCAGTAAAGCATGCTTGTTATACTCACTGTGGAGCCTAAAGGGTTAATCATCTGTATTATTATTTTTTTTCATGTAAAGCAGGTCAAGGTTAGAACCCCCTTCAGCTTTACAGTAAATAGGGGCAGGACTGTGGATAAGGGGGTACCACCAGTCCTCCTGTACGGGGCCCAGGCCAGCAAGGGGGCTCAGGCAGGATAAATCGGATGTGGGCAAGGAGGGTAAGCAGCATATTGTGGGGGGCAATTACTGGAACCAATACCCTGTATGGCTCTCTCTGCAGCAGCTGAAATCTGGCTTCCCCACATGGAAGAAAAAATATATTTGAAATATATTTCCCAAATATATTGACATATATTTGAAATGCTACAATTTTGGCCATATTCAATATATTTCAAAATATATTTCAATATATATATATATATATATATATATATATATATATATATATATATATACACCTTAGATTGTACACCCCTTGAGGGTTAGGGACTGATGTGAATGTACAATATATATGTAAAGCGCTGCATAAATTGACGCCGCTATATAAGTACCTGAAATAAATATATATAATATATATATATACATATATTTTGAATATAGCCAAAATTGTTGCATTTCAAATATATGTCAATATATTTGGGAAGAATATTTTTAATATATTTCAAATATATTTTTTCTTCCATATGTGTCTGCTCTCCCTCCCGCTGGCTTTCAGCTGCTGTAGAGAGAGCCATACAGGGGATCAGTTCCAGTAATTGCCCCCTGCCACACCCATGACCATCCCTGTACACCATACGTTTCCCCCTGCTGCCCAGGCCCCCCCCAGTGTGCCCCCACAGCTGCAGTGCTGCTGGCTTCCCTCCTCTTCTTCCCACTGGCAGCTGCAAGCACACAATAGGATCCTTCAGGATGGAGAGTGGGGGAAGGGTCCGGTAAATGTGTCACATTTACCAGCCCCTTCCTTTCCTGAATGAACACACCAATCACTCACTGTGTTCATTCATAACTGAAGCATTGTAGAATGTGTTTTTTTTTTTTTTGGGGGGGGTGACAGGCAGACCCTGTCAGCTTGGACTTCCACCAAGTCCCGGACAGACATAACCCCATCATGGGTTATAACCCTGCCCCACTCTGTCATAATCAAAAAAAGTTTTGTCTTTACTCTACTTTAATGGTTATCTTATGGAAACAAAACAAGTTTTAAGACAATGTCAGAATTTTTTTATTAATATCTCTAATATGTACAATTCTGTTCAGTTCATCCACAGTCCATTCTCCTCATTTCAGATGTTTAATTTAGCCGCGTCACCTTTAAAGACCCCCAGTACAAAACGTTCTCCCTCTGGGTATAGGTGGCATAAGGCTCAAATTCCTGCGTGTCCTGCAAAGACAGGGGCAAAACGTTTACACAATGGTTTTATTTACAGGATGTACAGAAGTTGTAATAGTTTACAGAAATCATAAAGAGCAATCACCACGGGAAATGAGACTTTAAATGTACCAACGAGGACAAATGCATTTAAACCTCACATATCAACATACAGTGCTGTCTCCAAAAAATAGTAGTTAAAAAGAAATGGTTGGCTCAATGGTGACATCTTGGTCTACTATATTGTGTGTGTGTTTCAATGTTTGTTTGTACTGCTTTTCGCCTTGTACACTGGGGACGACTAGTATGGCCATTCTGGACAGGTACAGTATATACCACAGGCATTACTCACCTGCTTGGTCTAGATGTAAGCAGGGCTGGTGCTAGACTATTTTGCACGCTAGGCAACACCAGCTACTTGAACCCAAGAAGGATACTCCTTCTTCACAGATTGGTTGAAACACGGCTTACATGGCACCTCATTGTCTGGATACCCCTTCTTCACAGATTGAAGCATGGCTTATGTGGCACCTCATTGGCTGGATACTCCTTCACAGATTGGTTGAAGTATGGCTTACATGGCACCTCATTGGCTGGATACCCCTTCTTCACAGATTGGTTGAAGAACAGCTTACATGGCACCTCATTGCCTGGATACCCCTTCTTCACAGATTGATTGAAGCACGGCTTACACGGCACCTCATTGGCTGGATACTCCTTCACAGATTGGTTGAAGTATGGCTTACATGGCACCTCATGGCACCTCATTGTCTGGATACCCCCCTTCTTCACAGATTGGTTGAAGAACAGCTTACATGGCACCTGAAGCAGCACGGCGGCATTACACGGCATCTCATTGGCTGGATACTCCTTCACAGATTGGTTGAAGTATGGCTTACATGGCACCTCATTGTCTGGATACCCCTTCTTCACAGATTGATTGAAGCACGGCTTACACGGCACATCATTGGCTGGATACTCCTTCTTCACAGATTGGTTGAAGTATGGCTTACATGGCACCTCATTGGCTGGATACCCCTTCTTCACAGATTGGTTGAAGAACAGCTTACATGGCACCTCATTGGCTGGATACCCCTTCTTCACAGATTGGTTGAAGCATGGCTTACGCGGCACCTCATTGGCTGGATACCCCTTCTTCACAGATTGGTTGAAGCATGGCTTACGCGGCACCTCATTGGCTGGATACCCCTTCTTCACAGATTGGTTGAAGCATGGCTTACGCGGCACCTCATTATCTGGATACTCCTTCACAGATTGGTTGAAGCACAGCTTATGCGGCACCTCATTGTCTGGACACCCCTTCTTCACAGATTGGTTGAAGCACAGCTTACGTGGCACCTCATTGGCTGGATACCCCTTCTTCACAGATTGGTTGAAGCACAGCTTACATGGCACATCATTGTCTGGATACCTCTTCTTCACAGATTGGTTGAAGCACGGCTTGCGCTGCACCTCATTGACGGGATACCTTTTCTTCACAGATTGGCTGAAGTTTGCAGGAGATGGCTTCAGCTCCAGCTAATATCATCCAATCCTGTCTGGGGACAGTGACGTCAGGACCCAGAAGTGATGTTTTACACATTGCTTCTGGGTCATTCAAGCGAAGTTCTGGCCCCCGCCCCCTCTCGATCCAGCGATGTGCACTGGAGTCTTGGCTATCCCGGGACTCCCTCTGCTCATTGGCTGCTGTCAATCAAGCCAGTGAGGCAATGAGAAGAGAGAGGAGGCAGGTCAAGCCGCGGCTCCGTGTTTGAATAGACACACAAAGCAGCGGGTGCCTCCATAGCAAGCTGCTTGCTGTAGGGGCACCCAACAGGAGGGAGGGGCCAGAAGTGCCGGCAGGAGACCCAAGAAGAGGAGGATCCAGGCTGCTCTGTGCAAAACCACTGCATACAGCAGGTGAGTATAGACATATTTGTTTTCTTTTTTTGTTTGTTTCTTTTTTTTTATTTAAGATTTACAGTCACTTTAAGCTAGATAATGAATTTCTGATCATGGCAAGAGAGATCAAAAAATTTACTTCCTTTCCAGGATTCTCATAAAATACACTAAAGTACATTCTGGTAAATCTCTTTCACCTTAGTCAGGCTGATAAAATCTGTAACAAATGGAAATGTTTTGCAAACTAACTTGCAATTTCACTTTCACAACTATCAATTTACCACATACCTCTGCAAAATAGTCCACTTGTTGCGGGGGAGAAGTGCTAAGTGACTTTTTGGAGCACGATCTGCAAATAAAATCCAGAATATGAAATGATTAATTTCAAGAGAACCATTAACGGCTTGGTTTCTGCAGGTCAAATGCAGCCAAATATCTTCTTTAGGCCCCATTCACATATGAGTGTAGCGTTTTCTGCATTTTGTTCAGACGTTTTGAGTTCTGGTGTGTTTGTATTAGCTAGTTAAGAAGAATTGAACCTTGGTCACGTGACAAAATGTGCGAAAGCGCATGAAAACACGCAATTTGTGCATTTCCATGTATTTCTATGGGAATAAAATTGCGCCAAAAACTCATCAACATGCTTGAATGGAGCTACAAAAGTAGCTCCAAAACGTTTTGAGCTTCAGGGGTTCTGCTTCTGTATTGCTCTGTGAACCATCTCCATAGAGCAATATTGATTTATTTCTCCCTGAGCTATTGTAGCTTCAAGCTTTGTGCTACAAAACACTCAGGTGTGAATGGGGCCTTAGTCTTGGATAGGGAAGGGTTGGAACCCCTGCTGGCATTCTATTTGTCTTCTGTTGGGAGATTTATTTTCATTTTTTCTTTGATGGGTGTCAGATAGGAAAGGAAAAGTAAATCTCCCCAGTGGAATTACAGATGGCAACAAATACATTTTTCTCTAGCTGATGAGTCTGTATACCCATTGGGGAAATTTCCCTACAATTCCTGTTTAGGGGATGGGAATCAGATAAAACAGAAACTAAAAAAAAAAATCTCCTCAATGGGGGCACAGACTAGAAGTTATTCAACATTTTATTGAGGTTCCAACCCTTCAAAAACTAATCATAATTTTAAAAAAAAAATAGGCTCTAGTTCTTTAATTAGTATGATTGTGTAGGCTTACTAATAAATTCCCCCATATTTACTTTTATGTTTTTTGTCTGAGCCTGACACCTTAACTGGAATGTGAGTCGATCCCTAAATGTATGTAGCGCTACCCTCATAGGAGCCACTGAATTTGAATTGGGTCCCCCTAGGCAACACGCATTTTACACATTTTCTCACAGAGTTTCTCTAACAGTCCTTGAGCTTGTTTTTATTGAGGGTTAATAACTTATCATAACACGGTACAAAATGCAGATCAAAATTCAGCAACAGTCCCTTTAAGGAGTTCCCTTGCTGTATCTCCTCAGACCCCAGATGAACCTCTCCTCTTTCACCCAGCTGTCCTGAGTGTATCCCTGGGCAAGGAATTCCAAGATCTGCAGTTAAGTAGTCCCGGACGAGAACTAGCTGGGTATTGCACCTGACTGCCCTCTGCCTTCTCTGGCCCAGAGGGTGTCGAAATTCTCACACTGTCCTGTCCTGTTAGCTTGCTGGGTTGCAGCTGCTTTCAGGTCTTAGGCTTGGCTGGCTCCTTCCCTGCTGACAGGTTGTCCTCCCTAGGAGATGGTGGTACAGTGGAGATCCTTCCATCCAGCACCAGCCTGTGGGTAGGTTCCCCTCCCTGGGGCCCTCTCCCAGACTCCACACTCCAGCACCTTCCTTCAGGCCATCTTCCACCTGATTTCCTTGCTGCTCAGGCTCTTCTACATTTAAGGGTTACTCATGGACATCATGCCTTGCCTCCTGGGATTGGCCAAGTTCCCTTAAACATTCAAATCTAGACTGCCTCCCCTCCTCCGCTCCTCCTCTAGAAAGTTCCTCCAGTTTATAGGCGGGTGGGAGGGCTCCAGAAGCCCTGACCTGTAGAGCCTATCAGCCTGTCCTGAGTTAATCTTTCTACCTCACTCCCAGGCTGCTCATCCCAGGCTTCTAACAAGCCTCTGACTCACAAAATCCACTCACTAAACTAGAGGGCGCTACATCTGGATAACATTACATTTTTTTTTAATTTGGATGTCCTCAACTGACTCTGAATTTCATGGTTATTTTTGACAGTTTGGATTTCCAAAAAGCTTCTGACAGAAACAAACCAAAGGCTGCTCTAAAGATTGTTTCTGACTTTTCTGCTATTGCCTTGGCACTCTTACTCTCTACTGGCATACCCCAGGGTTATGTCCTGCGGCCCCTTCTGCTCATAATCTATGATCTAATCTTCTTCCTCTTGATCTCATATTTCATAAATGTAACATTCACTTCTATTGCTACGCAGATGACACCCAGCTCTATCTGTCCACTAAACCTGCAGCCACCCTTCCACCTAAATCCCTCGCTGACTGTTTACAGGAAATCAAATCCTGGCTCTCTTCTAACTTTCTCAAATTAAAAAAATTACAAAACTGAGGTTCCCCTCATTGGTATGTAATCCACTTTGCCAAAGCTTAACAGTTTTTCAGTTAATATTGATAACTCTACAGTCTTTCACTCCTCTCAGGTAAAGAGTCTGGGTGCCATCTTTGACAGCACTCTATCTTTCCAAGCTCGCATCAATAATGTTACTCGGTCAGCATATTTCCATTTACACAAGATTAACCATTTCCACCCGTTCCTCACAGTCAACAGTACTGCCGTTTTCATTCACAATCTGGTCACTCACTGCACAGATTACTGCAATTCCTTCTCTTTGGTCTCCCTCTCAAGTCCCTCCATAAACTGGAACTGGTTCAAAACTCTACTGCATCACCAGAACCCACTCATTTAACCACATCACTCCTATCCTTCAGCACCTCAACTGCCTTCTGGTCAAATATCGTATTGATTTGTGGATTCTGTTGCTTACTTTTAAGGTCATCCACAACCTCGCTCCTCTGTATCTTTCTGAGCTCCTGCACTTCAACGGATCCTCTCGCACTCTTACGTCTTCTTCTTCCATCCACCTCAATGTTCCATCCACCTGACCACTATCGGACTGAGGGCCTTTAGCCGATCTGCCCCTCGACTTTGGAGCACCCTGCCACATGACACCTGCAACATTGACTTCCTACCTTTAAATCACATCTCAAGACTCATCTCTTTAAGCTAGCACACTCTGTCTGACTTCATTCATTTGTTTTGTATTTAATGTTTATGTAATGTATATTTATTTACTTTTTTGTTGTTCTGTTGCTATCGTTGTAATGTGCCCTTGGGTGTTTTGAAAGGCATCAATAAATAAAACGTATAATTATTATTATTATTAATATTATTATTATCTTCACTGCCAATACAGCCAGTCACCACCCATCTATCTTAGTATCTGCAGTAGAATTTTCACTTAAACCACTGGGGTCATTTGAAAAAATGCACCCAGTGGTGGTCAGGATCACCCCCTTACAGGCTGCTTAAAAGATCACTGGCTGCCAAATGGAATTGGCCTGGAATGATGCAAGCACCATCAGAATGGAGGTCAATTAGACACAGTTCAAGGAACCCCTAGCAACCTCTGGAGCAGACATTTTCAAACCTCCTGTTTGAAAATGGCTGCAATGGGAAATTTGAATGAGCATTCCTACGAATTTTCATTCAAACACTGTCAATGACATTGGCTGGATTGTGGGAATGTTGCTTGCAAGCCTAGTGTTGCTACCTGGTTGTGGAGAGGACATCACTGCAGCTGATATCATTGAGCCCCAGGCGAAGATAGGGAGGAGAAAAATGATCATCCCAGGGGCGGACTGATAACTCATGGGGCCCCCGGGCAATAGGAGATCATGGGGCCCCTGTGTCCTTGCCCAAACTAAAAAAAGCCTATGAAAAAGGTAACAGGGGCATCTCATGGGGCCCCCTACTGACCCCGGGCCCTCGGGTAGTGCCCGAGTTTCCAAATGGTCAGTCCGATCCTGGATCATCCTATATGTTATTTAAAGGAACAGTATTGCTTGGTTGGGACACTGTTAAGGCAAGTATACCCAGGTTCAGAGGCATTTAAATTTGAGAACTCCAATAGGGGATGTGGGCCCAGACTCATGGGCCATTGGGAGAGGGTTTGCCAGAGACTGTTGGACCTCTACTTTTCATTGCTTTAGTCAGGACCCCCCTTAGTATAGGGATTAGGGGAAAAGTCATTGGTCCACCTGTTATTTACTGTATATTTGTTAAAGTGTCTATGATTGCTCTTTTGGTTGTTGATTTATTTTGTGTTGTTACAATAAATATTCACCCTTCGGCCTTGGTGTTTCAGAGTGTGTGGCATTGATGAGAATGTCATTGACATCCAGAGTCAGGGGATACTACATAGACCGGCTTAAACGTCAAACTGTTGCTTTGCCAAAAAGACTCACTTTAAAAAAATTTTAATCTCTTTTGGCAACCCAAAGCTTGGTCTATGCATGGAAAAATAGATAGTAGAATCAATTCTCAGGTCAGTTATTAATATTAATAACTGGTTAACATCAATTATCAAAGTGCTGTTTACAAGTAAAAGTTACTAAAAAAACATTTTGTATGTAGCACTACCCCCTTTGGGGCTGCTGGATTTGAATTGGGTCCCCCTAAGCTCTGCATGGCCAGACAACTCATTTTACACATCTTGCACACTGGAGTATTAAGAGGTTAAACTTAGATGGAGTCAAGAGGTACAGTATATGGGATGCCCAAGGAACTGTAGAGCTCGAAGACAACTCCTGAGAAATTATGTACAAAAATGTGGATAGTAACAATCTCTTCTTTAAAGAGCACTGAAGGCTCTTTGGTGTACTGTACTTCCTCAGACCCAGGTTATTCCTCCTCTTCACCCAGCTGTCTGAGGGTATTCCTGGGCAAGGGGGCCCAGCAATACTGCCAATTTAAAACAGTCACAGATGAGAAGCTAGTTGGGTATTGCACCTGACTGGCCTTTCCCCTTATCCTGCCCAGGGGATGTAAGTGTACTCACACTGTCCTTTGCTCTCAGCTTTGTGGATTGTTGGCTACCTGCAGACCTTTCACTGGGATGGCTCCTTCCCTGCTGCTCAGGATGTCAAGGAGATGGTGGCACAGTGGAGGTCCTCTCTTCCAGCAACCTGCCTGTAGGTAGGCCCCTGCCCTGGAGCCTCATCACAGGTCCACACTCCAGCCTTCCTCACTCCATGTTCCACCCGACACTGACCACTGCCCTCTAGGCTCTGTGATATTTGAGGATTATCTTGGTCACCATGCCCAGCCTCCTGCCAGCGTATTGGCCAAGGTCCCTCAAATATGCAGATCTGGACCTCCTCCCCTTCTGTTCCAGAAAGTTCTCAACTTTCTAGAAAGGTGTGGAGGGGGCTCCAGAAGCTCTGATCTGTTAGAGCCTCCCAGCCTGTCCTGAGGGGACCTCACTCCCAGGCTGACTCATCCCAGGCTGCTACTCAGCCTCTCTCTAAAAAAAAAAATAGCTATCTAACCTAGAGGGAGTTACATGTCATTTAAAGTGGTAATAAATGTAATACTTAAAAGAAAGAAAAAACTTTTCCCCTGCAAGGCAATGTCATAATGTGCTAGTATGCATTGCATATTAGCACATTATGTGAAATCTACCTTAGCCCCTTCCCGTCTGGCCCATGCCAATAAACAGCCAGACAGGAGCGTTGCCTATGCGGGGTGATGTTTCTAAACATCCCCCTACATCCATTGCCTATGCGCACTCCCTGGGAGCGTGCAGCACCACGATGTCCCGATTCATGTGATCATTGATTGGTCAGTCAGTGATCACATGAACAGTAGTAAACAAGATCACTTACTGACATTATTGTTTACTACTTGTGAATTCTGTGAAAGATCACAGAGGTCACATGGTACAAGGCTATTCACAACAGCCTTGTACCATGTGACAAGCTCTGACCAATCACAGCTCACACGGTAATTCTCAATGGCAGGTATGCAGCCAGAGAGAAGGAGAAATTACTGCTTTTACAGCAGTGTAAAAGAAGAAAAAAAATCTTCATCACTCCTCACAAGTAGTATAGTGTCACTATGGTGACACTGTAATAATAGGGTGACGGTGTGTAAAAAAAAAAAGTACATAATTATATATATATATACAGTTGGGCAAAAAAGTATTTAGTCAGCCACCAATTGTGCAAGTTCTCCCACTTAAAAAGATGAGAGAGGCCTGTAATTGGCATCATAGGGAGACCTCAACTATGAGAGACAAAATGAGAAAAAAAATCCAGACAATCACATTGGCTGATTTGGAAAGAATTTATTTGAAAATTATGGTGGAAAATAAGTATTTGGTCAATATCAAAAGTTCATCTCAATACTTTGTTATATATCCTTTGCTGGCAATGACAGAGGTCAGACGTTTCCTGTGTCTTCACAAGGTTGGCACACACTGTTGCTGGTATGTCGGCCCATCCTCCATGCAGATCTCCTCTAGAGCAGTGATGTTTTGGGGCTGTCGCTAGGCAACACGGACTTTCAACTCCCTCCAAAGGTTTGCTATGGGGTTGAGATCTGGAGACTGGCTAGGCCACTCCAGGACCTTGAAATGCTTCTTACGAATCCACTCCTTCGTTGCCCGGGCGGTATGTTTGGGATCATTGTCATGTTGGAAGACCCAGCCACGTTTCATCTTCAATGCCCTTGCTGATGGAAGGAGGTTTGCACTCAAAATCTCATGATACATGGCCCCATTCATTCTGTCTTGTACAGGATCAGTCGTCCTGGTCCCTTTGTGGAGAAATAGCCCCAAAGCATGATGTTGCCACCCCCATGCTTCACAGTAGGTATGGTATTCTTTGGATGCAACTCAGCATTCTCTCTCCTCCAAACACGACGAATTGTGTTTCTACCAAACAGTTCTATTTTGGTTTCATCTGACCATATGACATCCTCCCAATCCTCTTCTGGATCATCCAAATGCTCTCTAGCAAACTTCAGATGGGCCCGGACATGTACTGGCTTAAGCAGGGGGACACGTCTGGCACTGCAGGATCTGAGTCCCTGGCGGCGTAGTGTGTTACTGATGGTAGCCTTTGTTATGATGGTCCCAGCTCTCTGCAGGTCATTCACTAGGTCCCCCCGTGTGGTCCTGGGATTTTTGCTCACCGTTCTTGTGATCATTTTGACCCCATGGGTGAGATCTTGCGTGGAGCCCCAGATCGAGGGAGATTATCAGTGGTCTTGTATGTCTTCCATTTTCTAATTATTGCTCCCACAATTGATTTGTTCACACCAAGCTGCTTGCCTATTGCAGATTCAGTATTCCCAGCCTGGTGCAGGTCTACAATTTTGTTTCTGGTGTCCTTCGACAGCTCTTTGGTCTTCACCATAGTGGAGTTTGGAGTGTGACTGTTTGAGGTTGTGGACAGGTGTCTTTTATACTGATAACAAGTTCAAACAGGTGCCATTGATACAGGTAATGAGTGCATGACAGAGGAGCCTCTTAAAGAAGAAGGTACAGGTCTGTGAGAGCCAGAAATCTTGCTTGTTTGTAGGTGACCAAATACTTATTTTCCACCATAATTTTCAAATAAATTCTTTCCAAATCAGCCAATGTGATTGTCTGTATTTTTTTTCTCATTTTGTCTCTCATAGTTGAGGTCTACCTATGATGCCAATTACAGGCCTCTCTCATCTTTTTAAGTGGGAGAACTTGCACAATTGGTGGCTGACTAAATACTTTTTTGCCCCACTGTATATATATATATATTAAAAACAGATTTTGAAAAATTACAATTTTTTTATTAAACTGATTTGGGGTATTTTTTTTTTTTTAACCAAAAAGATAACAATATATTTTGGCCAAGATTATGAAGAAAAATTATTTATGTGCAAAGAAAGAAAAACACTTTTTAAAAAAAACATTTTGGTCTTTTTTAATTTATATAGCAAACAAATAGAAATCCCAGTGATGAATAAATACCACCAAAATAAAGTTTTATCTGTCTCAAAAAAATGCTAAAAAATTTCATATGGGTACAGTGTTGCATGACTGCGCAATTGTCATTCAAAGTGTGACAGCGCTGAAAGCTGAAAATTGTCCTGGACTGGAAGGGGGTGAAAGTGTCCGGACTTGAATTGGTTAAAACTAAGTCCTACAGTGGTGCGTTGTCACCACTGACAGCGCTTCCATCTTCACCCGCTCCTTCTTCCAGGTTTGCAGGCTCCAGCAGCTTAAATGACTGAGTCATGACGCATTCGCACAGGAGTCACTTTTTACGGCATGCGGCTCTGAAGGAACTGCACGGGCATGCCATTCCTTCAGAGTGCATGTGTTGTTGCTGCTTTACCAGTAAATATTTCCTAAACAGCTCTCATATAGGCAGTGGCGGACTGACAACTCATGGGGCCCCCCGGGCAATAGGGGATCATGGGGCCCCTGTGTCCTTGCCCAAACTCAAAAAAGCCTATGAAAAAGGTACCAGGGGCATCTCATGGGGCCCCCTACTGACCCCGGGCCCTCAGGCACTGCCCGAGTTTCCAAATGGTCAGTCCACCCCTGTATATAGGAGATATTTGCAGTACCTATTGTAGGCTTACCTGTAGATAAACAGTGAAAAAACAGACTTTATTACCACTTGAAGAAATACCTGATTTTTTTTTGGTTCCAGTAGACGATACACAAGGCAGAGATGAGAAGGATGGCAATGCCTACAAGGATCCCGATCAACATCCAACTTACTGTAAAGAAACAAAATTGTACAATGATTGACACATGATAAACAGAAAAGTCAAAGTCAGGGAACTCAAATCTCAAGTGCCACTAAAAGGGAATTGTTTTTTTCCTATAAACAACTGGTTATGTGTATTTTGCTCTCAGGAATTAACCACTTGACCTCATGATCAGGGTATTTTTTTGCTATTCAGCACTGCTTTTTTAACTGGTAGTTGCACGGTCATGCAACACTGTACACAAATTAATTTTATATAATTTTTTTTCACACAAATAGGCCTCTTTCACACGAGACCAATGGGTCTGCCTCCGTTTATCAAGCGGACCCAATCGGATGCTCCATTGCTCTCTATGGAGCGGTGGGTGTAAACGGACATGTGTCCGTTTCCACTGGTCTACACTGATCCGACCCTGTCTGCTGAAAACAGACAGATTGGGATCTGTTTCCCATCCATCTGGGTGATCGGATCAGATGAGAGTCAGATGGAAACACAGGCAGCCCATTTCCACCAATAACCCATAGAGGACAGGGGGCTGTGTCCATAAGAGGAGCTGACACGGACCAGAAAAATGCCCGTAGCAAAAAAGAAAGAAAAAAATGGCTCAGGGCATACATGACTAGGCCCAGAATGGGGGAAGGAGGAACAGAAAGGGTTAAGGCAGATCCAAGGGGTTTGTTTTTGATAGTGGGGGTATTTGGTTGGTGGAAGGTTGAGAGTAGGTGGGGTTTCCTGCACCTTAGGGTGGGGGGTTTCAGTGAGGGGGCATCAGTTTGAGCTGGACGTCAGGAGTGAGAGCTTCCCTCCCGCCCTCCCTGTTTTTGGTGAGTATTGGGTCCCTCCAGGTAAAAGTGGGTTATGTTGGTTCCTGGGTGGTTGTTGGTCTTTGGAGGCGGTTCTTTATCTTGGAAGGTAAAAACAATGGTGTGGGACCCATCGGTGGTATGGGATGCCCGGGGACATTCCCAGCTAACCAAGGTTTAACTGGAAGGTTTAACTGGGACGGTATGGTTGTCTCCGAGCTGGTTGGTTGCGGCCGGAGGCCTAGTGTATATGGTTGTCCGCAGGTGCATTTCGGATTGTTTGGGGGTGACTTCGAAGACCAACAACAATTCTTTGGGTTTCTGTTATAAGGAATGGTTGGTGTATTTAAATTTGTGTTGTTAATAAAAAGCCATGTTGGCCATTTACTCCAAAATTGGTGTCATGTTTTTTGTAAGTATAGTTGGTTAAGGGGAAAGGGGGTTTGTACGGAACGGTCATGGTGGTAATGGGGAGTGGACAAGCCTATCTCTGGTGCAATAGTCATGTCATCCGCTTACTCGGCGGGGATCAGTGGGCAGGTCCCCCGATGAACTGCAGATCTGCTGATGGGTCCGCCCCTTGTGAAAGCGGCCGTAGAGCTTTTGGTGGTATTTGATCACCACTGGGTTTTTTAATTTTTTATATTTTGAAAAAAACAACAATCTGTTATAAATCCAATAAAATCAAATTTCTTCATAAATGTTGGCGAAAATGTATTCTGCAACATGTCTTTGGTAAAAAAAAAAAATCCCAAGAAGTGTACATCAGTTGTTTTGTGTGATAGCGTCTACAAACAATGATACTGGAATTTATGCAGCTATGACACCATACTTGTTATGGAGTGATCAGTGACTAAGGCCGGCCATACATACATGGATCAATTTTCTAAATATTTTTTCATTCGAAAATCGGACCTAAGAATAATCGGCCGATTTTAGCTCTGTTAGTAGGGCAATGTCACCGGCCAATTTTTGTGGTTCCTCCCCATTTTGTTTATTGAACATGCTGGAAAATTCATGAAAAACGACCAATTTTCGAAATCATTGGTGGCACAATCGGATTACAGAATGAACAATGTTTTCGATTGAAAAATCATTCAGAATTCGACCCATGCATGGCCTGCGTTACTATATAGTGTGACTGTGAAATTGCGGTGGGCAATCTGGCACTAACAGACACACTGGTTGGGAGGGTCACTAACTGACTAGCTGACACTGATGTCGCTAGTGACACTAATACAGTGATCAGTGATAGTACTGTACAATGTACTCTGTACTAATGACACTGTCTGGGAAGGGGTTAACATCAAGGGGTAATCAAAGAGTTGACTTTGTGCCTAACAAGTGTAATGTGTGCTGCTTTTACTTACTGATCTGGATGCTTTTTCTCCCTGCTTTTCAGGGAGAAGAAACAGCCAGATTTCTGTTCTCTGTACACAGAACCGAACTCTATGTGTGAGATCTGACACAGCCAATTAGCAAGTTTCAGCAAACTCATTGGCTGAAATCTTCCAATAAACTTGTACTGTGTCCAATCAAAGCATAGGTCAGCATGGGCCAGCAAGGGGCATACAGGTGCATTGTCTGGCCTGCCTGTGTTGCCTGTTTGCATTAAATCTACTGTGGGCAGGTAACAAGTACTTAAATCAGAATCAGAAATTTTGTTGCCCCACTGTGACGGGAGTGACTTTGGGTGGGGGGCCCATGGAACACAGATCACTTTGGAGGGGTGGGGAGACCCCTGTCCCAGCTCCCCATATCCCTCTTATGTGTAAGTCACCCTGTGCCTGTTAGGGGTACAGGGTGGAAATGTCCTGATATTGAGTAGACATGTATAGGGGGGGGGGGGGTTGTTCATTGTTTACTGCCAAGTGGTTGTCCCATTGTTCTATTGTGTCTTGCTTGTGAGCAAACTATTATGGGATGTATGTGTTTGTGTATTGGCTTGGTGGGAGGTGTCAGCTGTGTGTCTCTTGTTACTAAATGTATTGCCCCGCCCTGTGTATATATCTTGTGTCTGTGTTAAAATAAAGCAGTCCATTTCCTGTTTTATTACAAGTCTGGTGCTGTCTCGTCTTGTATGGTCATCGGTGGTGTCCGTGGATCTGTGTTCGGACAGGGAAGCGGGAGTCTAACGGAAATACCCTAGTGCAGTCGGGGTCCGGTTCTGTTACACCCACTATGTAATACAAATGACAAATACATTTGACAAACAAACAAAATAAGTTAAAAAAAAATATACAAGTAAAATAAAGTGATTCAAAAAAAGGTTCTGTGTTTAAATTTCATCTATAAAGTGTCAGAAGCAACCCTTCACCATCAGATCTTGATTGGATATAAGGCTTGGTTCGCATGTATACATTTTGCGTTTGATGCTTTCTCCAGTGCTTTTTGTTTTGTGTGTTTTTCTATAAGTGCTTTTGACACGTTTTTTGATGCATTTTTACCGCGTTTTGCTCAGCTCTTGTTTTTTTTTGTTGTTAAAGTGGAATCTGTTTTGTTGCTGGGCAGAATAAAAATGCAAAACGCAAAACGTATCAAAAACACATCAAAAACGCACTTCAGCAGCTTCTCCATTGAACTCTATTGTAGCAAAAACGCTGCTTTTTGCTTTTAAAAAAGTCCCTGACCCTTTCCAAAAATGCAGCAGCTCAAAAAAAGCATTGTTGTGAACATGTTCCATAGGAAACCATGTTAAATGGACTGTAGTGCGTTTCTGCAAAAAGCCTACAATTTTGAAAGAAAAACCCTAGATTTTCGACATTTTGCTATTAACATCTTGGCGCTGACCGAACGCAAATGTGTGGCCTCCCGGCATCTGGGCCTAGACGCCAAGCAGCCGCACATTTGCGTTCTATTAAAAAAAACATATGTGCTGAGAGCGCGCACCCTGCGTACTCCCAGCACACATGTGCGGTACTCACAGAAAGGTCTCGATCTCATCTTTCGATCGGGACTTTCCCAATCATGTGACTGCCGTGACGGCGTGTCACAGCGGTCACATGACCCTAAACCTGGCCCCACCTCCCAGCTTCTAAAACCCTTGAAGGGCCGGGAGGCGCCAAGTGGTTAAATATGTCCAGTAAAAAAATTTTGAAAATCAAATTATGCCATTAATTTAGAATAAAATATATTCTGCTCCATGACTTTGCTAAAAAAAAAAAATCCCAATACGTGTAAATTAATTGGTTTACATGAAAGTTATAGCGTTTACAAATGTCGGTATATATATTGGAATTTTTTTTTTATATACTAGTAATGGTGACGATCAGCGACTTATTGCGGGACTGCGGCAAGCATTCTGACACGGGGGGGGGGACTGACTAACTGCCACTGACATCCCCAGTGACACCAATAGAGTGATCAGTGCTAATAAAAAGCACTGACATTGTACTAATGGCACTGGGCAGGAAGGGTTAACATGTGGAGCGAACAAAGGGTTAACTGTGTGCTGTGTTGTGTTTTACTGTGTAGACATGCTGCTTTGTATTGCAATGCTGATACACAGCAGCATGTCCTTGCTGACAGGAGAGAGACCGGTGTTGTTTATAAACAGGTCTCTCCCCTGTCAGTGATACTCGCGATCGCTGGGTGTTGGCGGGGAATCATTGGCTGGGATCCGGTGATCAACAGCTGTAGCCGCCAATGACGGCGCAGGTAGGTAGGTGCGCACGCCCCCTACCCAGAAATGCAAAATTACTTATATATATTTGCGCAGCCCTGCTGCCGTGTATCAGTATTTCTGCTAGGGCGGTGGGAAAGCGGTTAATGGATGTTGCTTTTAACTTTTAATTAGTATGACCATTTGGAAACTCAGGCACTGCTCGAGGACCCGGGGTCAGAAGGGGGCCCCATGAGATGACCCTGGTACCTTTTTCATAGGCTTTTTTGAGTTTGGGCAAGGACACAGGGGCCCCATGATCCCCTATTGCCCGGGGGCCCCGTGAGTTGTCAGTCCGCCCCTGTTAGTATGACATTATTGGGTTATGACTTTTAGCCCGGGTTCACACTTCTGCGGTGCGACACAGCACATGTGATTTGCACAGGAACCGCACCGCATTCCTGTGCAAATCACATTCGAATTCTGTGTGGTGCGATTTCAGCCATACATTTTGTATGGCTCAAATCACACAACATCAGCACCAAAAAGGTGCAGGACCCTTTTTTTAGTCTGTACTAGAATGGGATCGCATGGGTATTCACACCCATGCAATCTGATTCTGCACATCGCAATGCGTTTTGTGAACCGATTTCAGGGTGTTGTTAACCACTTTAAAACCGGGCACTTTTCCCCCTTCCTGCCCAGGCCAATTTTCAGCTTTCAGCGCTTTCACACTTTGAATGACAGTTGCGCGGTCATACAACATTGTACCCAAACTAAAATGTTATCATTTTCTTCACACAACTAGAGCTTTCTTTTGGTGGTATTTAATCACCGCTGGGGTTTTTATATTTTTTGCTAAATTAACAAAAAAAAGACTGAACATTTTGAAAAAAAACACGTTTCTTTGTTTCTGTTATAAAAATTTGCAAGTTTTTTTTTGTTGTGATTAGCTGTGATTGGCCAGGGCTAATCACATGACACAGATGGGCTGTGATTGGCCAAGCCTGTGCATGTGATCGCTGTGACCATTCACAGCTAGACATCTAGACAATAGCTAAAGGAAGCCATCCATTGTATACAACTGTCATGTGACCCGCTGTGATTGGTCACAGCAAGTCACATGGTACTGGCAACGGGGCCGGTACACAGATCTGTTATTGGCCGTGTCCGAGGTACACGGCCGGTGACAGATCTCGCCACAGCGCAGCCTTGTGGGCACACGCAATGCGGGAACCGGGAAGGACGTCATATGACACCTTACCGGAGGGACGAGAGGTTCACCTGGCCATCATTTGACTATAGGCCAGGTGGCAACTGGGTTAACATACACACCCACAGCAGCTCGCATGAACTGGGCGCGAATATGATGCGGTGCGAAATTCGCACGCAAACCGGAGTGAATTCCGCCCCCGCATCAGTGTGAACCCGGGCTTATGGTCAAGTGAGTGGCAGCTTTAGTCACTGTCCACAGGTAAGGAGGAGAAAAGCTTCATTTCTTGGGTTTGTAGGAACATGTCTTTGATTTATATGTGCTTACCGATCAGAGGCGTCCCTAGGGTTGGTGTCACCCAGTGTGATAACACTGGGTGACACCCCCTCCAACCATCCCCGCAGGATGGATCGGATCTGCAGTTTGAGCATAATGGATCAGACTCCGATCCATTATGCTCCCCAATCCGCAGATCCGATCCATCCTGCGGGGATCGTCAGCTTTCTTTACAACTTACCATTTCGTGGAGTGGGTCCAGTGTCACCCCGTATAGGTTGCATGCCGACAATGCACGCAGGTTGGTTCGGATCTGTGGATTGAGCATAATGGATCATAGTCCAATCCATTATGCTCCCCAATCTGCAAATCTGAACCAACCTGCGTGCATCGTCGGCTTGCTTTACAACTTACCTTTTCGTGTAGCGGGTCACCCCATGTGGTAGGTGTCACCCGGTGCGGCGCACAACCCCTGCACCTGCCTCGGGACACCACTGTTACCGATGTCACCTTTTATTGAAAAGGACAAATCATTTACCACGTTGGTGATGGAATGTGAAGGAAGAAGGCTGGATTTCTATGCCTGTTGGGGAAATCTAACATTCTTAACATGAACTCACCAGTTTTACCTTCTGATATAATAGACTGGCTCCAGAGATTCTGAAATGTGGGATGAGACACAAGGCACGTCACATTGCCTCCATCAGACTTATATGTGCTGGTCACTGTCCAGGTGTCACCCGAATCTTTAACTTCACTTGTGTTTATATTATCTGAATGTGGGATCCAGGAGATCTCTGCAGCCGGGAATCCACCAATGGCTCTACACTCCAGAGATCCATTACTGTTTATATGCAGAGACACAGAGGGCTGAGCTACAGGAAAAAAAAAAAAAAAAAAAAACATTAATAACAGTCCTCCAGAGGATTTCCTGACCAGGCCATTTTTTGCATTACAGCATTGCGTTATTTTAACTGACAATTGCGTGGTCATGCAACGCTGCACCCAAATTAAATTTATGTCATTTTTTTCCCCACAAATTGAGCTTTCTTTTGGTGGTATTTGATCGTCTATGCGGGTTTTTTATGTGCTACAAAAAAAATACCAACAATTTTAAGATAAAAACTGTATTTTTGACTTTTTGCTATTAAATATATCCAGTAAAAAAAAATTTAAAATAACATTTCACCATAAATTTTGGCCAAAATGTATTCTGCTCCATGTCTTTGCGAAAAAAAAATCTCAATACATGTAAATGAATTGGTTTATGTGAAAGTTATAGCGTTTACAAATGGCGATATATATACTTGGCTTTTTTTTTTTTTTAAACTTTTGCTAGTAATGGCGGCGATCAGTGACTTATAGTGGGACTGGGGCATTCTGACACTGGGGGGAACTGACTTGGAGTCACTGACATTCCCAGTGACACCAATACAGGGATCAGTGCTAATAAAAAGCACTGACACTGTACTAATGGCACTGGGCAGGAACGGGTTATCATGTGGGGCGATCAAAGGGTTAACTGTGTGCTGTTTTACTATGTTCTGTGTTTGTGCTTCACTGTAAGCACACTGCTTTGCATGGCTGTGCTGTGCAGAGCCATACAAAGCAGTGGGCAGGAGCTGACAGGGAGGAGAACTGTTTTGTTTACAAACAGTTCTCCCCACCATCAGAGATGCTCGGCAATTACTGGGCATCGGCGAGTAATCACCGGCTAGGACTCAGTGATTGACAGCTGCGGCCGCGCATGTGGGGTGCGTGCGCGCCCCCTACCCGGAAATGCAAACTCATGTATATATATATATATATATATATATACATGATTTTGCAAACAGCTGCCGCTCTGTAGCAGTATTTCTGTTATGGGGAGGAGCTGAAGCAGTTAAAGTGTTACTAAACCCCGGACCCTGCATTCACAATATCCGGTCTCCCACAGTACACACAACATGGAAACGCAAATATTTTAGTAAATATAAACTGCTAAATACCTTTTTTCATCAGCAGTTAGAGCAGTCTTGTGATTCTATCAGTGTCCAGCTGAGCACTGGTTAAGGCTTATAGGAGAAGTTTTCTTTCATTCTCCCCTGATTGTCCTAAGAAGCTGCATAACCTCCGACCCTCTTTTTGATTAGCCCTGTGCTGATCATCCTTCCAAAGGAAAAAAAAACCTCTCAAGCAATACACACCAAACTGAGCATGTGCAGAGTGAATCCACATGATATGTCTTACCAAGAGATAAGAGGGGGGACACTTGAAGAAGGGGAGGGGGATCAGAGAAGACAGGATGAAACAGCGTTTTCACTCAATGCAGAGGATTAACCCCTTAGGTTCTACAATGAGTATAACAAGCATGCTTTACTGCATATACAGACTGATTGTACTGTTGTGGGGTTAGTAACACTTAAATTAATTAAAACATTTATTGACTACATTATTATTGCTGCTAACCAGGGGTCTCCAAACTATGGCCCTCCAGGTGTTGAGGAACTGCAAGTCCCATGAGGCCTTGCAAGACTCTGACAGCCACAGGCAAGACTCCCAGAGGCAGAGGCATGATGGGACTTGTAGTACTTCAATAGCTGGAGGGCCGTAGTTTGAGACCCCTGCTGTTAACAATGGTGTATCTACAGAAATGTTCTGGCAAAAATAATGGACTGTGTCCTCTTACTGCTACCAACACCCTCACTGCACTCCTCTGGGAAACCTTGCCCCCCCCCCCCCACCTCCTCACCCCTGTTTCTGTGTTTCAGTCAGCTTAAAGAGTGACTCCACTTTCATGAGGGAAAAAATAGCAAATAAAATAATAATATAGCATATACAGCTGTGACACAAGTCATATTGTAATTGAATGTTATTAAATATTACCTTTCCTTTTCAATCTGCAGCTCTGTAATTTTCGGTAGAATGTAATATGGCAACCTGGAGGTGTTCTGTACACAGATGGTATAAAGAACGCCCCCCTGAAATGTAATTTCCTGCTTGTGTGATTGGCTCACAGATTTTCCCAGAGGTCTGCACTAAGATACATGTCAGATTTTGGCATCCCCTGCAACAAAAATGTCATTTTTGGTGAGATAATCCCAAAGGGAAAACAAATCCAAAGAGATGCAGACCCTGCCACTTTCCTCATTAGAGCTTTGTAAGTGCAGCAGCTGATTGGTAATTATGAAATCACTCCCATTCACATTCACTTTACACATGGATGCTGACAAACAGCTATTTCGTCAGAATAGCAAAAGGTAGAAATCTGCAACAAAGTTTGTTAAAATCTGTGCAATGTACATACTGTAGATCATCCAGACGGGAAAGTTTTTTTTTTCTCAAAAATAGTGGAGTTACCCTTTAAAGCAGAACTAAACCCATCGATTTAACTGTTTCCCGAAACGGTCACAGTCAAGGCCTGCAGTGAATGACAAGGGTCACAAATGAAAATCAAATTGAGGCTGAGATAGCAGCTTCCTTGGCTGTAAAGGATAGGAGGATTTATTTCCTCTTTAACCCTTTTGCTACCAGAGCCGGTTTTGAATTTTTTTAGCACACATTTTTCCAGACCCAAACATGATATATTTTCTGAAAGCAGACACCTTAGAGAATAAAATAGTGGTAGATCCAATTGTCAGGATATTATCACAAAGGTCTAGGGAATGCAAAAATTCAGTAAAAACAGACTAAAGTCAATTTTATGGCAAACAAATGCAATACATTTCCCACATTTTTGATAAAAGATGAGATTGCGCCAAGTAAGTGACATTCCAAACTTTAAAGTGTTACTAAACCCACAACAAAAATAAATCAGTCTGCCATTTGTCAAATTTATTGTCAAATTTATTTCTATGTAAAGCAGAGTTCCAGCTGAAAAAAAAAAAAAAAAGTTAGCAGCTACAAAAACTGTAGCTGCTGACTTTTAAAATACAAACACTTACCTGTCCCTCGGTCCAGCAGTGTCCTCACCATGATTGGTTTTACCAGATATGATTATATTCATTTGTCCAATTACTTTTGGTCCCTTGAAGGCGGTGTGGCTACTCTTAAGAGCTGTAATTCCTAAACCCTTCCTTTCAATTTGGATGTACATACCCTCAAATTAAACCCGAGACTGCGCACTGTCAGCCCATATCCATTATAGAACTATAGCTTGAATATGTTTTGGTAAATACCTGAAGAATCTGTGGCAAAATATATATGAACCTAACTGTATGTGTATGTATGAATGTAAGTTAGGGACCTTAGATTGTACTCCCCCTTGAGGGTTAGGGACTGATGTGAATGTACAATATATATATTTAAAGCTCTGCGTACATTTTTTAAGTACCTGTAATAAATCATAATGAAAAATGGAACATCAACATTTTTTTTTTTGCTTGCACTGATAGAATGATGGAAGTCAGCAGAGCTTCACCTCATTCATTAGGCTCAAGGGAACATTCCATTGCAAAGTGTAATTCCCTGCCTTGGGAATGAACAGCATATTTGCCTTGGGGAAGAATGGACCCTACTGTCTTTAATTTGCTCTATACATTTTGTTAAAAGTGAATTTAATTGTGTATTTTTGCTTGAATATTTGAAGGAGCGACTTTGTTTTTTGGAAAAGAAAAAAAAATTAATACGTTTCAAAACACCTAATACTTGTAAAATAGTTGTATAGATGAAGGTCCCTCTAAGAGATGACAGTTCACAGGTATAATTTCCTCCATCAGATATCTGGCTGTCCTGGATGGTCAGTGTTATATTGGTTCGTGTCATTCTTGTACTGCAGTTGCTGTATATCTGTGATTCTCCTTTCATGTGTGGACCATATGAGAATAAACACCGAGAATTACTGATGTGATGGATCTTCCATATAACTCCCGTTATTTGGTCTCCAGAATCCCCTCCACATTGTAGAACTGTAGAATCGCCTCTTCTCCCCACCACAACACGAAGATCTGGAATCCAGAAAATATCACAATCATTGTGTGTTGAATCAATCAATCACGTGTAATCACATATTCTAGATATTGATATATACCTATACCTAGAAAGTATCCCCATGAAGGTCTACAAGGCTCAGTTCACACTGATATAGTGCGGATTTGCACCTACTTCTGTGCACACGGATTTTGATGCGGTGTGGGAAACGCACAGAAATAGCTGCAAATTCCGCACCACATCAAAATCACACTCCGTTCATGCAAACCACTGCGGGTATGCAAGTTAACCCATTGCTGCCCGGCCTATAGCCAGATGGCAGCCAGGCGAACATGTGAATGCCTATGGTAGTGAGCTCTATAGGTCCACAGCTTGGGGTTCCCCAGGGCGCGGAGTCTAAGCCCCAGCCTGCTTGTTCACCAGGTCCCCTGATGGCGGGGATGGACTTGCAGCAGGCTCGCGGCCCCCAGGTACACCCAGCTGAGGTGGAGGATACCGCTAGCGGGAGCAGGGTGCAAGGGAGAAGACACAGGGAATCCAACGGGCAAGCCGAGGTCAGGACAGGCATAAAACAAGCAAGGTCAGGAACTAAGCCGGGGTTGGTACACAGATAGACAACATAGGAGTCACATTGGAAACACACGGGAGCTCCAACAACACGAAGTTGCTCAGGCAAAGTGGGACAGACTGAGCATGTCTTAAATAGACAAGCCAGCTAGCAGGCGGGCCAAGAAGTGATTGAAGGGAAGGACATAAAACCCAGAGGACAGCAGACGATGCCCACAGGTGAGCACAGACAAACACACATGTGAAGGAATCAAGAGCAGCAAGGAGGTAAGAGTAAACACAAG